CTCTGACCCTGCTCCTAAGCTGTGATTTCCAATAGCTACAGGGATTTCCTCTACTTCTGACCTGACTGGACCCGTTGTGTAACTGGTACAGTATGGTAGGCCTAATGTGGAGAAAAATGGGCGACAGTTCTCTGGAGGCAGACAAGGGATTGATTTCGAACATAGGGATTGATTACATTTCAGGCAACAGGACTGTAATTTAAGGGGTAAGGCAGAGTCAATGAGGCCAATATAGTGGTTTCCTCTACAAGCACTGATGCAATTAGCAACTCATTTTCATTGAAAAGGTGCAGGAACTCTTGGCCCTGTTCCTATGGCCTTCGTCACAATAGGAAATGGGAGGGAAAACCAAGTCAGGATTCACTTTGGTGGAATGGTAATGCATATTTCGTAATACCAAATCTAGGAACCATAAATCAATTTAGTAGAAAGTACTGTTATAATATGCCATTGGTCTGGCTTTGAATGAGAATAATTGGCATTTTATTTATGTGATTTATTGAAGGTTAGTATGGAGAATCTTTATCCCAAAAGCCACTCTTATCATGCAGTCCTTGGTCCTAAATCTTTGCCAGGCTTGCCAAACAGAAATTCAGTTTATTAAGGCTAAAGCCTTCTGGCTATTGAAGTCCCTTCTTACATGCTATCATACTTTAGTAAACATAAGTAGCACCTAGAATGCTACCTCTCTGATTCTGATTCACTGGGTCGAAGATGGGAGCCAGTTCGAAGATGGCAACTTACATTTTCCTTAAGCATCCTAAGTGAGTCTGGTATATGAATTGTATTTTGATAAATACTGCTCTACATCTAGAGATAACATTTAAGTAGGTAATTATTAAATATCTCAGGCTTATCTGAAATCAATTTTTCCTTAACAGCATGTTGGAATATTGGAACACAAATCAGCTAAGTTTCAAGAGAGGGTCATGGCAAGAAAAAAGTATGAAGCACAGGGCAGTAGTTTGAGAAAACATGCTCAGACTGGGTGTCTAGGCAGGGAGCCCTGTCAGAAGCTAGCATAAAGGTACTGAGTGCATGTGGAAGGCAGCAGGGTGAAGACTAAAGTTGGATTGGTCTCTGGGGGGCAGTTGTCTGGGATTCACTCTTGGGGTCATGTACGATTAAGTGTTTCTGGGGTGCCTGGGTGGTTCCGTCAGTTAAACGGCCACCTCTTGATTTTGGCTCAGGTCAGGATCTCAAGGTTTGTGAGATCGAGCCGTGCGTCTGGCTTCGTGCTCTCAGCGGGGAGGAGATTCCTTGGGATTCTCTGTCTCTCTCTGCCCCTCCAACCCCTCAAAATGAATAAATAAACTTTTTATTTATTTTTATTATTTTTTTATTAAAGAGTGTTTCCTTCTGTTTTGCACCCTAGGTACCTCACTCACCTCACCCTAGTGCTGGCTTTGGTAGATAGCTTCTGCAATGGCTGCCAGTGGTCCCACCTTGTGGTATTCATGCCCTTGTGTAATCTGCTGCTCTTGTGTGTGGACTGAAGCTAGTGACTTGTTTCTAATGAGTAGAATATAGCAAAGGTGATGGGATGTCACTTCCAAGAGTAGGTTATAAAAGACTGTGACTTCCATCTTCTACCCCCTCTCATGCTCTTTTGTTTTTTAACTCTGATGAAACAAGTTGCCATTTGTGATTTATTGTGGCTTATTGCCATTTCTGCCTTATTGAGAGACCTATGTGGCAGGGAACTGAGGGGAGCCTGTAGACCATAGCCAGTGGATCCTTCCCTGGTTGAATCTTGACGTAAGACCACAGCCTCAGCTGACACCTTGACTGTAATCTTTGGGAGACCCTGAACCAGAAGCCCCAACTAAGTCTTGCCCACATTCCTGACCACAGAAACTGAGAGAGTAAATCTTGTTGAAGTCACCGTGTTTTAGTATGATTTTTTTTATTCAGTAGTAACTAATACAGTGCATAAAGATCGTGGTGGTGGTGGAGTGTTGGTTGCTGAACCTGAAGAGCAACATAAACAAGGAAAAGAGAGAAGGTACTGAGGACACACTGAACCCAGTTTCGTGTGTTTAAGCAGTTTGACCCAGGGATAGTTCTTCCTACAGGGGTTGCTTCCTTTTCTTCTTCCTCACCTCCTCCAAGTCTTTGCTGCCCTAAAAAATAGCTGGACGGTTGCTTAATCAACATTGACTGCTAAACGTTGAAATTTCTTCTATTGAATCTCCAAGATTATTGCCGTCACCACCTCCTTGCCTATCGTGAACTCCTTCCCTGAAATTTGCTATGGTTCCTAATAAGGAGGTCTGTACTTAACAGTGATAGATAATACCTTCATCCAGCAGCCATAGCCACTAGAATATAAAAAAAGTAAAATGTCTGACATTGCAAGGATGTGAAGCAACGTGAACTTTTATAATTGCTAGTGGGAATGCAAAATGGGATGATCACTTGGGAAAACACTCTGACAGTAGTGTATAGAGTTAAATCTAAATCTACCATACGACCCAGTAATCATACTTCTGGATATCTATCCAAGAGAAATAAAAACTTATGTGTACACAAAAGCTCATATTCATTTTTTTTTTGTTTTTGTTTTGAGAGAGAGAGAGAGAAAGAAAGAGTGCAAGCAGGGGAGGGGCAGAGAGAGAGGGAGACAGAATCCGAAACAGGTTCCGGGCTCTGAGCCGTCAGCACAGAGCCCGATGTGGGACTCGAACCCACCAACCTATGGGATCATGACCTGAGCCGAAGTCAGATGCTTAAACTGAGCCACCCAGGCGCTCCTATATTAAAATATTTATAGCAGTTTTATTTGTAATAGTCCAAAGCTAGAAACAATCCAAATGTTCATCAACTACTGAATAGATAAGCAGACTGTGGTGTTACAGATTATCCTCTATTCCCCTTTGTCTGTCTTTCTCAGGATTCTCTCAATGAGCGCCTTTCATCTAGCACCATAATCGGTCATATTCCTCATAGGCCTTTGGGGTGGGGCTCAACTGGGAGGGCATTATTTTCTCAGAAGGGAGAGCCAGTATGTGGGGCCTTCTGCACTGACTTAGATTTGTCCTTTTTTTATGGGCCTGGGACATTCACTTACCAATTAGCTCTTAGAAGCCTCTAATGGAAACAAGGTGCTTCTGAGATTTTTGACGCAAGGGATGCTGCTCAGAATCCTAAGTGGCCTCCTTAATATTCTGCATCACTAGCAAAGGCTTACACAGCAAATATTCATGCCCATCAAAAAAAAAAAAAGTCTAAGATAAAAGTGCATGCATAACATAACACTTAGAGTTGTTGAATCACTATGTTGTACACCTGAAACTAATGTAACGTTGTGCGTCAACCATACTTCAATTTTAAAAAGTGCATGCAATGGGGCGCCTGGGTGGCGCAGTCGGTTAAGCGTCCGACTTCAGCCAGGTCACGATCTCGCGGTCTGTGAGTTCGAGCCCCGCGTCAGGCTCTGGGCTGATGGCTCGGAGCCTGGAGCCTGCTTCCGATTCTGTGTCTCCCTCTCTCTGACCCTCCCCCGTTCATGCTCTGTCTCTCTCTGTCCCAAAAATAAATTAAAAAAAAAAAAAAAACGTTGAAAAAAAAAAGTGCATGCAAGAAGTTCATCGGGATAAAAGGCCCATTTTGGAAGCAGTGGGAAAGCTAGTATAGGTCAAGTTAAATCTATCACGTACTTCAGTCCCTTAAAGAGGGCTATCCTATAGCTCACTATAGTTTCATTTATTTTTCTTCTTTTAAGCCTATCTAATGATTCTTAACTTAGAACTGGAAAGCTACATAGAGTACATGAGTCAGGGCCAGGATTTGCAGAGGTCAAGAAACTTCTTTATTCTTTATGAATGGTTGCAGAGAGAACATCATCGATGAGATTATTTTTTTCTTTCTTCTAATGGTACAGCATCTTCCTTCCAGATCACTGTCAGCATATCCCTCGTCAAACAAGTCTATAATTCCATCTCAAGCAACTCCTTTTACAGGCATGACAAAGTCATTGGCTGATTTAAATGAGGGAGGGGGGTTGAACATTTAGCATAAAGATGAAGTAAAGGCATTTTTAAATTTTTTACTTTATGTGAGCACTGGTGTCTAACTTTCCACACAGAAAAAAAAAAAATCACCAGTGATGAAAATAACAATTAAATGTAACTCGTATAACACTGTACCACTGTATGTTGTTTTGATTCATTGTTACCTCCTTTTTGTTTTTGTTTTGTTTTGCTTATTTGTCTGGTCTCGGGTGCTCGCTTAGAACCAGTGAGGCCACGGAAAGGTTAGACTTGAGACCAGTTCTTTGGGGGCTCTCTCTCGTTCTGCTGAGAGTGTTTCTTCAGCTGCCAGCAAAAGATGCGTGCACGAATTCTTTTGCCTGTGTCATGATCAACTCCAGCTCCGTAGATGGACCCAGCTGTGGCAAGTTGATAAGTCCAAGTTTCAAGATGACACAAAGGGATTGAGTCAGGCAAGACCCAGAAGATTTGGGGCCAAATTAAATGTTACTGCTCGATGGGAAAGAAGAGAGGAAGGAGGATGTGGAAATACACAGCCCAGTTTCTGCTGAGATGATAGGCTCTGGAAACCCACCCCGCACGCTCACTGTTAACTCCGTACTGGTTTGTGTATTTTCCGAATCTGCAGTGGGTGGCTTCAGCAGTCACCCGGGGACCGGGCACCCGGCGCCCTGTGATGACTTTTCCCTCTCGCGGTTCTTGGGATTTCTCTGGAAGGTTCTAATTCAAAGGCAGCTTTTATTTGGAAAGCTTCAGAAGTCATTTCACTCTACACATTATATGAGGAGTAAAAGGCTTGTTTACGTTTAGCTCCACTGCTCTTAAACCCTTCTATTTGTTCTTGCTGGTAAAATTTATGTGAGTGGGAGAGACATTATTCCTAGGTATGGGGTTTGTGTTAGAAGTTACTTTTTTTTTTCCCATGCTCATTCACCAAATAGGTACTGAGCACCCACTAGATGTCGGGGTACATGGGCAAAGCACCTGTTTCAGAGCTTGTGCAAAACCTCAGTTTCTGAGGTAGCCAAGCCCTGCACTTTTAGCCCTGAGTTGAACCACAGGTAGTGCTGACGGCCCTGTTCTTGTCATGGCTGAAGGCTTCTGGGACATGGATCTTTGGGGAGCTACCTTAGCTGAGGCTCTCTTGGTTGAATCTCTAAGCACAGCAGCACAAGCCAAAGCTTCCTGTTGAGTAATGTGGCCTAAGGGGAGAGAAATGAGAGAAAGTTCAAAGTCAACAATCTTACAAAACAAATAAGCAAACAACCTTGCAAATGTTTATGAATCCATAAAATTTCCTCTACTCTGCACGGTAGAAACCATTGTGTTTAACACACCCAGGTTGTAGGATCTTTGAAGACAGGCAGTGTACTTCTCTTCTTTTGCATTGCTCATTCAGTTAAGTTAAAAAATACATGGTCATTGATCAACATGACAAATCAGTTGGGGAGGGACTTGGGCCATGAGTCATCTGAGCCTGACCTGCATATCTTCATTTTCAAAATTTTCCTCAAGCCAGAAACTGATATATTGAATCTCTGTCAGTGTTTTTAGAGTGTAGGCTGCAGACCAGCCACGACACAATCATCAGGCTGAGGCCACATTTAATAACGCTTTTTTGAAAATTCAGATTTCTGGCTCTATGCCAAAGACTTTCCTAATCAGAAACTCAGAGAGTTAGGTCTGGAAATCTGCATTTTGATATCTCACGCAGGTAGATCTTATGCGCACTAAACACTGAATGTCTCTGCTCGGGTTTCCTTGGGCTCTATGCAATTTTACTCTACGAACAAAGCTAGTAGATGATGCTTCTGCAAGACTTCAGGCAATCCTGAGCGGGCTGCATCGAGCTCTGCCACTTACCGGTCACATGATCCTGGCCAAGTGATTTAACTTATTCATGTCTCAATTTTCCTTTCTGCAAAATGTGGGTTATAAAAGCACCTACCTTTGGATGGAGGTGACTGAGTTTCAAGTAAGACAATATTTGCAAAGTGCTCAGAACTGTCCCTGGCAGATAGGAAGGCCTGATAACAGATACCTATTGTTACTGTTCTTGTTATTCAACCATTTGCAAAAACCGTGTCTTTTATGCAAACGCAGGAACAACAATATAAGGTTGATGTGCTAATGTTAAGTGAGCTGCTTAGAAAAAGAAAGCTCTTCCAGTGACAGGCCAGCTGGAGACGGAAGTCATTTGCTAGAAGAAAAGAGACTCAACGCCAGTCACATCTTTCACAAGGTTGTTGCTTAAAGTCTGTGAAGATCTTTTGCAACCATCATTTCATTTGTGCTTCATAAAATCCCATGAGGTTGCTAGAAGAAGAGAGATGTCAGAGCATGGGCGTGAAAATGCATGATCTGTGCAGGCGACGGCCCTGATATTCACTCTACGACTTGAGCAAGTTGTATAACGTGGCTGAGCTGCAGTTCCCCACTGCTGTGAACTGGGGAGAAAATGTATAATATATAATATTATACATTATATGTGTAGAGCTCCTAGCACAAGGTCTCTAGCGTGGGAAATGCTCACGAAACGTAACTGTTATTGTTGTGAGTAAACCAAGCCTCTGAATTCGCACATCCAGCAAGATGGCTGACCTGTGGTTTGAGCCTAGACCATCTGCCTAAGCCCATTGCCATCTCTACTAGATCAAGTGCCTGTAAATCTCAGACAGTTGTTGACATTTTATGGCAATCCATACTCTGATTTCTTGAAGCCCTCTTAATTTACCCATAAAGCCTTGCTTAGTATTGTCAGGGATAATCATTTTTAAACATGGCCTGCCAGCCATGTTATAAAATAGCACACTGGCAGAGGAGGCCATTCTACTTGAATTATTTATCTGGAAACTTGACTTCCGGCTGCAGCACACGAGTCCCTCCCTAAGGTGCCTGGTTTGGGTCAGGTAGTTAAAACTCACCAAGCAGCTGCTGGTGCCGAAGGCTGTGAATATAGCGGTTCTGCAGGGCCTCCCACTGGGGCCTGGAATTGTAAATCCTCATGATGCTGTAAAAATAGCGCTGCTGCCCTTGGGTTAGGTCCTGTCGGAGCAGAGCAGGTGATTTTGATGAGTTGGTGGAATTCTCTAGGACTACGAGTGTGATGTATTCAAAGCTGACTTCTTTTGGAAATAAGATATATATATGTATACATACATATGTATGTATAACAATTTTATGTATATGTGTGTGTGTGTATATATATACAAATTGTGTGTGTATATATGTATATGTATGTATACACACACACGTATACACACACACACACACACACACACACACACACACATGTAACAATTGGAAAACAACAATTGGGTAGTTTCTTCCCCTAGTTTATTTAAACAACTTCCACTGGCCTGTGTGATAGTAAAAATGGATAAGCAAACATTCTAGGTTAAGTAAGTAGGTCAAGGTATTGGGCTGAGAGAGATCTAAGGATTTCCAACATCTTATAATTTTATTTATCTATTATGATCCTTCTTGGAGAAGGTAGGCCATGAGAATCTACACAGGGCCTGACATAGACCCGGCTTCTGAATGGGGTCAAGAGAACTTCCCACCAAGAGTTGTCAGTAAGCAGGCGAGATAGCTGGATGAGTGGATGGGTAATGTGATAAAGGTTCAGCATTATTAGTTAAAAGGTGCTGTGAAAACAGAGGAGGAAAATAAACTCTGTGCAAGGCTTTCTAAATGAGTTGACCAAAACATTGGAGTCTTAGGGTGAGGAGAAATTCCCCCAAAGAACCAGAATACTGGTTCTCAAAGGGCATTGGCATCACCTGGGAACTTGTTAGAAATGCAAATTCTCAGGCTCCACCCTAGATCTACAGAAGCCTAAACTCTGGGGAGTGGGACCCAGAACTCTGGGTTTTAACAAGCCCTCTGGGTGATTCTGACACAAGCACACTAAAATTTGAGAACCACTGTGCTGGAAGAAAAAGAAAGGCTAATTAGTGGGAGAAAGTGGCACAGATTTCCAATGGGGCACAAAATATCTGGATATATTGGGAAGCAGACTTTTTTTTTTTTTTTCTTCAAGCAAAATATAGAGTCTGAGCTGGGAAAGGCTTAGAGGTAGGCAGGGGAAGGTCATAAAAGCCTTATAGATGTAATGTTCCGACTCAAATCTTAAAAGTAATACTTAAAAAAAGTTTAAAGATTATCTTTTATATGAGGAGCCATGGAAGGTCTTTATTTAAGTCCGTGATTCTCAAAGGGAGTGATTTTGACCATTGAGGACATTTGCCAATGTATGAAGACATTTTTGGTTGTCATGAATGGTGAAAGGGAGGATGTATGGTACTGACAGTCAGTAGGTAGGAGCCAGGAGTGCTGCTGAACATCCCACAGTGCACGAGACAGCCTCCCGGTCCCTTGTAACAAAGAATTATCCAACCCCAAATGTCATCCTTTCATGTGACCAGATTTTGCAGCTGGCCCTGCTGTGGAGGATGAGCTTCTGGGAAGACAGACCATTGGTAGGGAGAGCATTTAGAAGGCTGACCTCTAGGGCAAGCAAGGAGCAAGAAGGGCTGGGACTACAGTTTCTGTTATATACCTCATCTATCATCAATGCTTATCGTATGTAGATGGGGAGACTGAGATAGTGGCATCAGCATTCTAGAACAATCAAAGAACAAGAAGTTCACCGTAGGCTAAAAAATTCAAAACAATGACAGAATTTTCAAAGCAAGTTGTTAACCATTGTAATGAAAACTAAATTTAAGTGAATCAAATGTAAAAGTAAAGTGACTTTCATCTGTTAGAAATTTGGTGTGGAGGGGTGCCTGGGTAGCTCAGTGGGTTAAGAGTCTGACTCCTGATTTCAGCTGAGGTCACGATGTCACCCTTCATGAGTTCTAGCCCTGCACTGAGCTCTGTGCCAACAGTGCTGAATTCTCTCTCTCCCTCTCTCTGCCCCTTCCCTGCTCGCTCTCTCTCTCTCTCTCTCTCACTCAAAAATAAGTAAATAAACTTAAAAAAAATGGTATGGAGTTGAAGCCTGTGTGTCAAATTTATTTTCTGGTGTCTAGAGACCTTAAGCTTGATATTGAAAATGTGTCCAGAGTGAAGGTAGCAAAGCCAAGTATTTCTCAATTTGAGACATCATTTCAACTTTACAGTTTGTGAATTAGATGTTTTAAAAGATAATATCTTTGAAGAAGATAATCGATTCTTAATTAAGCTTTTTCAAATGACAGACAACAATATAATATGAAAATAGCAAGCCAGTTTCAAAAGCAAAGCTCCAAAGGGCAATGGGAATAATCATTATAGAAGATAAAATCTTAGCAGTTATTGTTTTATTTCATGGGGGGGGGGGGGCGGAGAATGCTATGTCCTTTCCTTAGCAGGGATCTGAGCTTCCTAAATAACAGTCCTAATATTCTTACCCTATTGCTTATCCTTCCTTGAGGCGATGGAAGAGAACTTAACTTTTGCAAAAAGTATTTATGAGAATGGCTTTAAATAACTTTGACTGAAAGGCACTAACATCGTTCTCTAGCAGGGAGCCATAACATGGTTGCTTCCCGCCACCGATCAGTGCTTTTGCAATGAAGACAAGACTGTCCACAGAGCTCCTAAAATGCGCTGGGTATAGGATCGGATCATCCAAGGGCTCATTTGTTCACCACACAGGCCGTCAACATGCACTGAGGGCCTTTGTCAGGCACGATGTTACCAAATACTGGGTAAACAAAGACATGAGAAAAAGTTCTCAAGCTTTGAAGGAGAGACCTACAAATTTTCTCCATTAGCGAATGATATGCTATACCTTCAGTAAAGAAGTCTCCAAGGCAGAGGAAGGGACGCGAATGCAAGGAATCCGTGGAACATTCCCAAGTTTTTGCTGTCTTTTCCATTTTTCTCCCATTCTTTATCCTGTGCCTCCAGGGAACAACAAACATAGCATGAAATTGCATTTTGTTCAGCCTATTTTGGGACCTAAGTAAATAAGTAAGCAAGTAAGTAAATAAAGAAACAAATAAATAGATGTTATTTATGTCAAGGGATAAGAAGTTTTCTCACATGTTTCCAAGTAATTGGATCTCACCAGACTGCTCAGTTCTGTACTTTTCCCTATTCCCACCTGCTATTTATGGAAGGACTTTTCTTTCTGCTTCATCTTGTGTGTGCAACATGTAGACTGGGGAACCACTCCCTGTCACAAGTTATTTCTTATAGTTATAAATAATAGTTATTACTTTATCTGACTCTAAAAGCAGTATATGTCATTTTTGAAAATTTATCCATGATCTAACTGTCCATAACTATTGGTGGCATTTGATTGATTTCCTTTTATTCTTTCTTTTCTGTGTACATTTTGTATGGTTTTAGAAAAGGGAGATGATACTCTATATGTTGTGCACTTTCCCAGCTCATTGAATATCCCTTAAAAAAGCCTATAATTTTTAGTGGCAGTATAGTATTCCTTTACATTTTTCTCCTTTTCTTGTACATTTTGCAGTTTTACAGCACTGCACTGTCCAAGAAACTATTAAACTTAGCTGTATTTCTTGCCAATTGCCTGACAAAATGAAGGAGCCACAAAAAAGACTATGAGTAAGTCTTTTTTTTCCTTTCCATATTGTTTAAGGTTTGGAATCTGAGATGTGTACAATAATAAAAAATTAATAATCAAGGAGTAATAGACATATTGGAATAGGGTCGCCAAGGCATGGAGTGAGAACTCTAAGTGTTGTCTCCTCTGCTCATACCTTTGCCCTTGCCAACACCTACCCCCATCGGGTTGTTTGATTCACTGAGATCATGGCTATAGAAAGCTCTCCTTCATGCCAGTTCCTTCTCTCTCTCCTCTCCTTTATTGTATGCTCATGCACATGCATACATAAAAGCACCCACATGTACACACGCTGAAGAAGTATTTCAACATGTGATAAATCTCTGCTTCTGAATTCATGAAGCTAAGGCTCCGATCTTCCTGAAGAGAAATTTATTAGGAAAACATCAGCCAACATCTCTGTGTGTCTTGTTTCCACGTTATAAACTTATAAATTAAACTATAAATATTGTACTTAATACTGCCTTCCCTCATTGTGCACTTCAGAAACCACACTAACCAAGATAACTCTTTTAATATTCTCTGTGATAAAAGTTGACACTCTATCCTGTACTTAGATCTTCTCAGTATCCCTCCTCCCATTTTCCAGATCTGCAGAGCAGAGCATAAATATTCTTCAAAGCTAGAAAGATTTCTTCTTTCCTCAACTAGCATAAGGAAGTGACTGACGATCTTTCTTGTGGCAACAATTCATGGGTGTTTTTCTTGGGCTATTGCTAAGGAAATCCTTCTTACCTAGTCAAGTGGACTATACCTGATAAAGTTTGATTAGAATGCTTGGGAAATTCAAGGAGGGAAAATCTACCAAATAACTTCTGTCTGAAACAAAAAGATTTGCTTCAAAGACTTACCCTGTATTATAAACTTCCCTCTTTTAAAAGCTGCTACTCCTATTCAGTGTAGTCTGCTTGCAAGGTCTCTTCCTTCATGGGATGGTGGCGGTCGAAATTCAGTCTGTTGATAAGCTGATATCTAGGCAACGTCATGTGATGAAACAAGGAGCCGGGGGTGGGGGGGGGGGGATGGATTTGGCTGCATGCCTTTCCCTGCTTCTGGGCAACATTCGACTGCACAATTTATCTTTTTCCTTTGAAATTTTGTGTCTAATCAAGTGTCAGCTTCTAAATCTACTACATCTGCATTATATGCAGACATGAGAAAAGAAAGTACATGGAGACAGAGAGGCTGAATATTAAAGGTCAAGAGATCCACCAGGGCAATGGGCCATTATATATTTCACAGATTTGGAGTCAGTCCCCTCACCCACGTTGTTCAGAATGAGGAAGAAACAGTTCCTAGATATAGACCTATGGGCGTGAATTTTACTGTGGTAACCTATGGAATTGTTCAAGACAGTACTCCTTTCTTAATTTTTGGAGGAGTAAGATATTCTCATTTTGGATCTTGGTTAGAGGCTGCGTATGATGATAATGAACCTGTGGCACACGGATCTTGCCCACACTGATGTCATCAGCATAAGGCTCGCATTTTAACCTGACTCATGACAGCAATCTTACCCCTCCCTCTGGAGTAGCATTATTACTACAGACTTCCTTTTTTCCTTCTGAATCCTCCGTCTGAATGCCAGATTATCTGTAAAAATGAATAATTCCTAGGGAAAATGGAAGAAGAAATACCAGAAGAAAACCACAAATTCAAAATTCTTAAGTATCTAAAGGGAGTATCTCATCAAGATGAGAGTGATGAATTGTGTAGCTTACAGAAGAAAGAAAGAACTCACCAGACACAGAAAGTCTGCATTTTCTTCAATAATTTAAGTTATTGAAGACTGGGGAATAAACATGGCAGACATAGGAGTCTATAAAAGCCTGTGGATACCACAAACCTCTCATTGGATCTGAGAGTTCGGTGATTCTCTACTGAGAGATAAAGAACAATTGAATGCAGAGTTGACATCGTCAATTGAATCTTCCTTGAATGTTTTCCCAGCATATGATGAAATGCCTTCCAGGGTATACCACATCTGCTGACTGTTACACACACGGGCTGATTCATAGCAGTGTGCATCAGTCCCTGCACCACCAGGAAAATGGAAACAGATCTAGGTGTTTGACAAAGAGCTTAATGTAAGGAATCTGTTTCAAAAGTATTGGAGGGGCGCCTGGGTGGCTCAGTTGGTTAAGCGTCTGACTTTGGCTCAGGTCATGATCAGGTTCATGGGTTTGAGCCCCGTGCCCGGCTCTGTGCTGACAGCTCAGAGCCTGGGGCCTGCTTCGGATTCTGTGTCTCCCTCTCTCTCTGCCCCTCCCCTATTCACATTCTGTCTCTCTCAAAAATAAATTAACATTACAAAAAAAAAAAAGTATTGGAGTGGGTTAGAGGAGCAAAATAAGAAAGGCCTGCTCATGCAATGATAGGCAATTCCACTCCACCACTAACACACCTAGAGCTGGAGGACAAAAGGGAAAATGATTTTCCCCAGAGTCCATAAACGCTGTGCCATCCAGGCTGTTTCCGTTGGAACACGGCCTGAGTAGCACCTCAGTACCTGGCACTCAACCAGTGCCCTTGCTTCCCTGCTCTGTCCCAAATGCTGATGTTACAGTGGCTATCACCCCCACCACTGCCCCTGCTGCTACTGTCCCTGACATGGTTGCTGATGCTTCCACTGCCACAGACGTAAGCAGAAACCATGAAAGCAGTTTCTCCTTTCCTCTCACCTTCCATTTTCTGTCCCCCATTGGATGCCAGCTGGTAAGGGACTCTGCAAAATGCATTTTGCAGTCTTCCCACTGCCATGATAAAGAGAAGGGTATAGAACGGTAAGTGCAAAGCTGGGAGATGTTGACACTAGCCAACACGTGGGGATACCATCAGCGAAAATCTAAGAGGTACCTCTTGTTTCTGTGATGTCAGGTGGGAGGCTCAAGAACTTGGATGTACAGTCAGTGCTTGCCTATTACCACTAAGGTTTGTAATTTTTAAAGAAAAAAAAATACCTAGCTCTGTACATAGTGTCAAGGAATGAAACAGGAGGTTTTGGTCAGTAATTTAACATTTAAGAATGATGAAACCATGCACATCATCAATTTTGATCAAAGAAATTATTTTTCCAAAGACTAGACTTTTCAAAAAGAATTAAAGTTGACTACAAAAAAAAAAAAAAGAATAAAAACACTTAAAATCTAAGTACTATAAGGAATACAGTGTTGACTATCGGTAGAAAATATGCATGCTCTCTCAGAGCTGAAACATCGGTAAAACAATGGAGTAAGACAGTGGTATATCTATATAACCGTCCTTAGAACATGTGTTTTCATAGAATAATAGAATAATAAAGAGTTTTCATAGAATAGTAGGGTAAATATGATCTCGTGGTCATTAGCAAGTGAGGAAGGAAGAGGGACCCATGATTAGAATCCAAGATGAGGTTAAACCCTAATTCAAAGAATCCAATCTTCTAGAACAAGAGGCAAAGCTTAACTCTATTTCATTGAGATAGGTATTTCCCTGGAAAACCATGAACCCAAGGGGAAATCATCTGCTCATATCTTTCTGCTTTTGCTCCTTTCCATCATTTCCAGGATCCTCTTAGCTGCAGAGCTCTCCAGGGAAATAGTTATGCTAGGCACAGATATCCTCCTTGTGCTACCCCAAGCCCTCAGAGGGCCTCAGTGCACCATCATGAAATGAAGGGACTGTCCCTGTCCCCATTCAGAGCTGCTGTATATCACCTGGACTTTTGGATGTCTCTACACAAGAGTCTTACACAGACTTTTTTAGACTCTCTTTCTTGTAGGACCACATAGCCCGTTGGGTGTAATCTTGCTTGGTGGGGGTTGGAATGGGTGTCAATTATTCCTCTACTATCTTGTTTTTCTTCCCTCTGATCTCTTCGCAGAAAATTCCCACTTCTCCAAAACTCCAAACCAAAGCTCTCACACATACCAACACCTTAGGGGGCACTGGTCTCAAAAACTAGAAACCTTAAAAGTCCCAGTTTGGTCTATAAAAGCCACTTTCAATGAGTAATAACTACTTTGAACACTTAAATGCAGTGATTATCAGGAAATGAAAAGCTGGATATGGTCATATATGTGCTAAGGACTTTGGGAAAACAGATTCAAAAAGTACTGAAAAAATCTAAAATAGAATATAACTCAAGAACAAAATGGTCTGTGGATTTAATTTTGACTCTATAATCCCAAATAAATGCTATGGAACAAAGAGGTATGATGTCAAAAGAAACTAGAACAGGTGTCCTGGGAGCTTGTAGATAATTCTAGATTCCAGACCTTGATTTTTTTTTTTAATTGTAAGAATTTGCAAGA